AAAAAAAAAAAAAAATATATATATATATATATATATATATATATATATATATATATATATATATATATATAAAGAATAATAAAACATATAAAACCACGAATAGCGTTATATTCGAGTAATCGAGCATCGGAGAAAATACGACGACGCAGAACAAACGTGTGATTAGCTTGACATGAATAACGGAGCTTTAAAAAGAAAAAAAGGAAGGAAGAAATATTTGCCCGACGCGAAACCCGTTTCATGCCATCCTCCGATCGGTCTTGCAACCTGCGTTATAGGCTGCTCCTACCACTGGTCTATTAGCGTAAAGTCGATGCAAGCATTTGAGAGAGAGAGGAGAGGGAGAGAAGAGATCGTTCCGATAGCGAACGAGCGAAAAGCGACAATATGTCTCGGATATGCCGTCGTAGACATCGATCCCGTTTGCGAGGCATCCTCTTCTTCCGCGCGTTGCACGGATATCAATTTTACGACGACAATTCGACAAGCCAGACAAATACCGGGCTCAAGGAACGAGCGCGAAAACAATATCGACGCGAGCGGAGGAAGTGCGGCGCAAGATTCATGGCAGCCGACGAGGTGGCCAAGAAAAAGGAAATGCTGAGAAAGAAAAGACCGCGGCGGCGGTGAAAAGCCGCGTGTGTCTCGCACCATAGAGATGAGGAGAGAGACTTTTGCGCGACGCCATCGACAAATTTCCATCACTCTCCGGACAGTTTTGCATTGTCGTATTTCGACTTGGTCTCCGCCGAACAGTCGGGGTCTGCTTCATATTTTGCATGGCTTGCAGTGTAACACGTTACGACAATACGATCACGAGAATAAAGTGGTAATATTTAGTGTTTCATAAAAAACCGCAATTCTTAGCTGTATGTCTAATATAAGTCGCAATTTGTTGAATCCTACACGGAGAGAAGGAATTTCAATTTTTTTCTCATAAAAACTCTTTTCAATTTTTATCCTCCCACAATCATATTAATATTAAAATTATATTAGTATTTAATAGCACTAAGACATCCGTGCTAGCTCCTTATGTGCCATTAATATTTCACTATTAGTTAACTCTATAAAGGAGCGTTCTATTATTTCGGCTTTTCAATTTTATTATATTGTTGCAGAAAAGTGCATTCAAGAAAGTATTATTTGTTTCAAGTATTTCGTAATAAGTTTGTACATCCGCAAATCTATTATAATTTCATGATAAGTATCAAAACTTGTTAATGATGTTGCAGATATGATGAGGTAGTAGATCGCTCGCGGAGCACCTGGTGAGGCCGTTTCTGACACGGTGACATGTCGTTGCTGTCGAGTCGCAGCGGCCGGAAAGGGCCGATCGCCTGCCTGGTGGCCCTCCTCTTCGTCTTCGCTCTGTATCAGCTAGGCATCTTCTGCGGGTCCGGCAAGTACATGCCCACGGCTGTGATGGTCGGCAAGGAGGTGAGAAAACTAACGACTCTCTTCGGTCGATCTAATCGCTCGTAGGGCGGAAATCGCGCGCGGCGCTCCTTCTTCTGCCAACTCGACGCGCGAAATAAAGAGAATAAATTCTCTCCTCGCTTAAATAAAGAGGGCGGATTTCTCTCGATTAAATAAGACGGTTGAATTGCGCGAGAGTACGAAAAGAGGAAGACAGATAGATAAATAGAGAGAGAGAGATGAAGAGAAAGAGATACGTGCGTGTATCCGCGGTATTTCTTTAAAGCGGATAAGCTTAAATCAAGTGATTAAACTTGAATGCGCCGAACTGCGATATGTCTGACCGAATTGTTGGCCGCAATATCTTCCATGCGAATTATCCGCAAAAAGATGGGTCATGCAAATATTTCGTTTAATCGTTGCGTAAACGACGCGATATATTTACGCGATTCACATTTGGTGGAATTTAATAACCACCGGATTTCCAATAAACAAACACACGTGGCGCGCTCCATTTTTGGATAGCCGAGAATTTCGTCAGAGTTATTTGCAGCGGCGTTTTAATTGATTGATACCGACATCGACGTCGATATATATCGAGGGACGTTGAAGACACCGCGTCGAGCGATTTTCGTCAGACAATACCCCATCTTCATTTAATCGAGAAATTTTAATTACCTATCCGCGGTAGACCTCATTCTATCTCATCCGCCTGTCGGATCCCACCGATCGCTGCTGATGTCCGCACCCTGCGCGATAATAATACAATAATAATTAATCGGAATAATACGATGATGATACGAACGATGTATTATCGTGGTTGGTCCAGCGAATTTCTGCATTATTAATCGGCAATTAATGACTGTCAAAGTATTAATTACGCCGAACTGTTAAAGTCTGTTTGATGACAGTCGCGCTAACGTTGAGTTTCACGATCAGTCCTGTCGTCCTCGTCGTCGTCGTTTACCGATCCCCGAGGCTTCTTCCCTTTTGGCGTTGATCTTGGAACGCTAAGCGCGCGTTTCCAAGAGAGACACGTTTCTCTGTGTACACGCTCTTATTCGTACGACGAGATCCCTCTGTAAAAATCTTGCGTAAAAATGTTAAAATTTCCTTGTGTCATCAAGTTTTTATTATTATTTCAACGTAAAATTAGCATACAACTCATATATTATTATTTTCGTGACGTTTTAATATATTATATTTATTTCGGCTTTATAACTTTAAAATTTTCATATCATTTGGCATACAATTATTTTAAAAATGAACACTTTAAAGCCATTTTTGATAACAAAATTTAAAACATATTAAAGTATCTATTATGTTGATTTAACGTAGATTTTTGTTCTTTCAAAACATTTTTTATTATATATAAGTATCTTAATAACATTTGTAATATTAAAATTTATAATGTTAAAAATTATATATTCTATAGTGATTATCTAGATTAATATATTATAGATGTTAATTTTATTGGAAAATTAAATTCTCGTCATTTTACAGTATATATAACATGAAGTATGTCTACAGTCAGAATAGAGATGATATAATAGGGAAAGCGGAGTCTACAATGAAGATTTAAGCTTTAAGAAATTGATCAACCACGGTTGAATATTCTTGTAAAAATCGATTGTGGTTAGTCAATTTCTTAAAGTTTAAAACTTAAATCTTCATTGTAAACCCCGTTTAAAGTAAGCAACTCTCAAAAGCACGCTAGAGTTCATAAGTTCGATCCCATCCGTGACAAGTAAGTTTTTCAAATATCAAAACTTGAATTAAATGAATGGCACATGATTAAGAAGATTTTGGACAAGAGATCATAGACAAAATTTATTTTAAAATCAACGCAATAAAAAAAAATAATAAATGAAATATCTTTGATTTGTGTAAAAATAACATTTTTCGGTGTTACATTTCATATTCTAAAAAATCAATTATTTTTACATAAAGTTTGCTTCAAAATAGTATCTGTTTTTTTTTTGTAAACTTTTTGACATAATATTTGTATTTTTTTTAATATACCTGCCTTGTGTTAAATCGATACAAACATTTGAGTGGACTCTCTGGGACATGTGAAACATGTTAAATTTAATATAAAATTTTTTACCGCGTAGACACGCGAGAGAAAACTCCAATTTTCAACGATACCTCCCCAAAATCAAATATTTTTCGTGAGTTACGTGTCGACTGTTAACGTTTTCGAGCTGGATGATAAATCGAACTGATGCACCTTCGACGACCACGGAAAAGCCACATTAGCGTTCCGGAGATAAGCACTCCTATATTGACGCAGCGCGTAGACGAGGAGAGATACTTGACATTCTTGAATGATAGTTGAAGGATAGTTGGGTGAACTTATCTTATCGACTACTCAATACACCGGTTCAAGTTCCCATCCGACTACACAGCCGAGTCTCTCTTCTCTCGACGCCTGCTGTCCGCCGCCGTCAGCTTTGAAACGCGCTTTTATTAATTTTCCCGTAGACTTACTTTAATTACATTAAGGTAGTCACGCTGGTGAGCAAAATGAACGGACGAATGAAGCGCACGAATTCCGCTTATACGCGAACCGTTCAACAATGAACGAACGGTGTCGTTTTAAAAATGAGAAGCGGAGGGAGTCTAATTTTCGTATGTGACGCGAAGAAATTGTAGATCCCCTCTTTCATTAGTGACACGAGGAAGAATTAAAAGTGGAAATACTCGGAAATTAATTTAATTAACTTTGTTTAATTTAAAACATCTTTTTCTTTTCTACATACATAGAGAATATTGTAGTAAAAATTACAACAAAATTTTTGTAATCTTGGATTATACAAAAATTATGACCGAAATTATTATATATTTGTTTAAAAATGTTATACATATTTGGTTTTTTACTACAAAATTATTGTAATTGAATGTTTTTTTTCTATCATATTTATGATAGACCGTCAAATTTATTATTTCTATAGTCACTTTACCTACAATTTCAGTATAATCCAGCTTTACCAGGAACATTGTAAAACGAAATATAATTTTTAACGTAATTTGTACTCTGCAACATTTTCTCTGTGTACATCATAATATATCTTTATATATACTTTAATCCTTTTTTGTAAAGGGAATATTTTCCCCGTTAATAAGTAAATGAATAAATAAATAAAATTGATTTCCTGAACAGAAATACGTGATCGGGCCGTTCGATCGCAAGACATACACGTACGATCGTTACATGCCGCTCATCTTTATTGGCGGTGTACCACGATCGGGAACGACCCTGATGCGTGCCATGTTGGACGCGCACCCTGATGTGCGGTGAGTCCCCTGTAGAGATTATTAGAATAATATATCCAACAAGAAATCAATGTATTTAAATGAAAATTAAAATTTTAAAGAATAAAATAATACACGTGCTACACAGAATGTTCACTTCCACTTGTCGACTTCACGGACTTTACATTGAAGTTTCTGTATAAATAACATACAGTGAACGATCCTTACGTTATTTGACTCTGTAATTGGAGAAATTTCCCGCGTCTCTCAATATGCGCGCATTTTTAGTTTCGTGTAACACTTCGAAATAATACTCGTGAGTCGCGTCCACATCCTCTCCTCGTTTTGAAAAGTGCACTAGACACATCTATTTGTCATATTAATCCATTCGGTTGAATGACTTTGATGGGGCTTTGTCTCAGGTGCGGACAAGAGACGAGGGTCATACCGCGGATTCTTCAGATGAAGATGCACTGGTCCAAGTCAGAGAAGGAGAATTTACGGTTGACCGAGGCAGGAATCTCGAAAGAAGTAAGTGGAGGCGCGCGTATGGAAGCGAGACGCGAGTGAAGGGAAAAAGAATGTGTTCCGACAGATTTGAATAATTTAAACATCGCGCAAGGATATTTCTCAAAAGATTCGCCGTAAAAAGTTCTTGCGTTTTTCTGCGTTTATCGGAAGTAATACTTTTCGCGCGTGTTCGCGCACTTTCTCGTGGAAGAACACTGGGAACTTTCTATTCCGGTACAGGAAGATTTACGTTGTTCGATAGTACGCATTTGTCTCGACCGAAAGTATGTAGGAGGAAAAAAATGGAAGAGAGGAACGCTGATCCCCCATGGTTTGAAACTTTGAAGTATCCAAATGTGTCCATTTTTTGTAGGTGATAGACAGCGCGATAGCGGCCTTCTGCTTGGAGATAATAGCGCGACACGCCGAGCCTGCGCCGAGGCTGTGCAACAAGGACCCTCTCACCCTCAAGATGGGCTCGTATATTCTGGAACTCTTCCCGAACGCCAAATTTATATTCATGGTGCGCGACGGACGCGCCACGGTGCATTCCATCATATCCAGGAAGGTAAGGCAACAACATCGTCGATCAGATTATATTTTACGTTACTCTCGCGAAAGAATGTTATTAAGTCCGCACGATAAAGCAGTTCATCGTCTCTCTATATCAAATTGTATTTTAAAGCGACTAAATATCTGAGAAGAGTGGATTGATCGAATTTAAACGTTAACGCTATTCAGTGACGATCTTCTTCAGTCGTTCTTTGAATGTGGAAAACGCGACTGAGATTTCACGCAGAGAATAGAATACGGTTTCTCCACGACAATTTTTCTTCCTTTCTCAGGTCACCATAACGGGGTTCGATTTATCGTCCTACCGGCAGTCTCTCATCAGGTGGAATCACGCGATTTCCGTGATGTACGGTCAGTGTAGAGAACTAGGACCGGAGAGATGCCTGATGGTCCCCTACGAGCAGCTGGTGCTACATCCGCGTCAGTGGATGAAGAAGATATTAAATTTTTTGGACGTACCCTGGAACGAGTCCGTCATGCATCACGAGGAATTCATTAACAAACCCGGCGGGGTACCTCTGAGCAAGTGAGTACAGAAAGAAACAGCGCGCTTGAAAATTAGTGAAGCGTATTATCCTCACCTGGCGAAATTAGTAATTAATTTTTTTCTCAGTAAAAACGTCGCGTACGCTTATCACGAGTTTTTAACAACTTAAAAGTTTTACTGTTACTGTCAGTATCAGCGTAATGTCTGTACGTGTAATTGGATATTATCGGATGTCTGCGGAGAGTAAAGAATTTTCATTTCATTTTGTGTAATATTTAATAATATTCCCATTTATACTATCTATTATTGATTCCTGTAGCAGCTGATTTCGTATCAGCAGATTTTTTTTCTGAGGTACTATATATATTCTAGTCATGGTACTCGAACATCTATGTGATGTAATCAGATAATATCTATGTGATTTAATCAGATAATATATCGGATATCTCGATATTAACACCATTAAAAACAACACTGCGTGTTCACTTTTAGCGAATTTTTAAATAATCCCGTACACGCATTAAAATATCATCGTATAATATAATGTAATATAATATAACAACCAATATAACAGAATAATGTTGCGAGTATTATTGAAACTTTAAGTAATATAATAACGTAATGAAGTAACATTTCGTTGTATTAACGCGAAAATAATATAACAATTTTACTTCATTGAATAATACAATAATGCGATAACATAATGTTTCGTTATATTAATGTTGAAATAGGTCGTGTAATATAAATATCGGACTCACAAATTGATCAAATTGATCACATGATTGAGTGTTGAAAAGTCCGAATTTGTTAACTTAAAGTTCATGCAATTCTTACTGAGTTAATCGCGGTAAACATCCAGAATGCAAGCCGAAGACATTTTTATATAGATTGCAAGGAATGTCGTTCACTTTTCATTTCTAAGGCCTAGATTAGTACTGATGGGTGATTAGTACTGATTCATATTTCATATTTCATGAAATTGGGAAGAAATATATAGAAAACTTACCGCAATGGAGCCTGCATTAATCAACAGACACGGGACGATCCTCTTTCATGACAATCCAAAACCACATACAGCTCAGATTATCTTATAAAAGCTGAACGATTTTCTATGAAAACTTGCCACATCCCCCATATCTATCTTTAGCTGACAGATTACCACTTATTTCGCAATTTGGAACATTACACGCGAAATAAAACATTTCGCATAATGTGATGAGGTCGAAAGAAGCTTCATAAATTTTGTATCTTTCAAAGACCAGGATTTCTTCGAGAGAGGAGTTTTTCTGTTGGAATTGCGTTAGCAAAAAGCCATTCAATCAAATGATAGTTATTTCGGCAAATAAAATGTTTAAATTAAAAAAAATAAACATTTTGCATTCCTCCCTGAGAAATCCAATAATTCATATTATACAATTTAATAATATAATAAAACTGATACACTTAATAAAATAATGTTCCACGTTACTGATATTAATTTTACACTTTACAGAGTCGAGAGATCGTCGGATCAAATCATAAAGCCGGTGAATCTAGCGGCATTGACGAAATGGGTCGGCAACATTCCCGAAGAAGTAATCAGGGAGATGGCCGACATCGCGCCGATGCTCTCCGTGCTCGGTTACGATCCCTACGCGAATCCGCCTGTCTACGGCGCTCCAGATAGTTTAGTTAGCGACAACACCAGACGGTACGTGCCAATTTGTTATACCGCATGGTCGTTACGTTACGTGCACGTTGGTTCACAATAGTATTCAAATATAACGGCACACGTATAAATCGAGTAAAATCGTTTGGTTAAATAAAAATATGTATTGTAAAATTCATATAAATTAACTTTACAGCGAGTTTCTCAAAATTCTACATTATTTCAATTTAATATTTCAAGCTACATAAGTTATAAGCGATTTTATAAGTTTCGAACTATACAAGTTAAAAGTAACTTCATTGAAGTACCGTTTGTTGAAAATTTCAAAAACTTTTCTCTTTGTAGTTCGAGAAAAATTACACTTTATAAAAAAAAAAATCTATAGCTTGTAGAAAACTTTCTGTCGCAAGATATGTGATATTAACTAGGTTTTTGTTTTTGTTTCAGAGTGCTGGCCGGCGAGAAACTCTGGGCGGAGAAGGCACGGGAATACCACCTGTCGCATAAACCGGCAGAGACAAGCAACGAGGAGACTTCCAGCACAGCGCCGCTCGCGTGACCCAGCGAGGTTCTTCTGAGCGAGCATGGCACGTAATTAGGAGTCCCAAGGAGTCTAAGCAACTTAGCAGGGTCTACTCGAGCAAGCGGAGTGACCGCTCCTTTTACTTGTTGAGCAAACTGGACCCAAGTACACGACCGCAAGTCGTATAATCGAGGATTAATCGCTCTCGTCGTATTTTCGATCTCTTCGCCTCCTCGTCATTATCTCGACGGCGTATACGAACAACGGATTAATCACGGCGTTTACTTATTAGCATCAGGTCTGTGTTTCACAGAGTTAGAACACTTGTAATATTAGACACACGGCACGACTACGAACTATGTTTTATATGTATATTATATAATATGTAATATACATTATGTATTATACACATATGTATAATATTATATTATACTATATAAGAACTTAAAAAAAATGTGGTATAATAATCGAAGTATTTGTTTTCAAAGTGTCTTAATTACTTCTTAAAGAATGTTTTATGAGCACAGAAATTTAGGTACAAACTTTTATGAACACAAAATTTTATGAAACTATACACTCCCTCGCAACATGAAATGTCCATTTTTTATGGAGAATATATTATATTCATGTTCTATGGATTTTTATGGATAATTTAAGGCACTTTGAAAGTAAATTTTCTGATTTATAAGGTACGCTTTGGATTTGATTAAATCAACATAGAATGTTAAATTTTTTACGTTCTATTCTAATATTACAAGTGTTATAACATTATGAAATAGGTTTCATAAGACATGATACTATCGCTGTCGATCTTGCGCAGTGTCGTCTAACGATATTGTAATGGTATTTGATACATAAAGACTAAAGATTCTTATGTTATCACAAGAGTTTTTTCAGGGATTACAGTTATAATTTTATTTTATAATTGTTCAATTCCTGGTTATATATTAGATGACACCGACCAACACCGGCCAGTGATTTTAGAAAAAAGTGTTTTAGAGTATTTACTTTAAAGCGATGAAAGATCAACTCGAAGCACGATGAACAAAGGAGCGAAAACTCCTTTTCCACCTTCTATCTTCTCATCAACAAAGTTTTGAATTAAACGGTTCGGGACGATGATAACCTGACTTGACCACCAAATTCTCTCGACTTTGTAGATCTATTATCGTATTAACACTTCCGAGATTCCGAAGTAAAAGTTTTCAAGTTTTTCGATATCGATTTCTTCAATGATTTTGCTTCTACAGAGTAAGTACAATTCATTTTTGCAATATAATAATATGAAAAGTAATTTAACATATAGTCTACAGAGCCGAGAGGTCCACTCGGTATTTCCAACTCTTCTCATACCTCTGTAACTCCCACCGTATCCCGTACCGTTCTCATACTACGTATGACGAGAATGCAAGATTATATGGAATTTTTCATGTTCGCCATATTTTTTAGCTAGAATAGTTCTCACTCACGGCGTTTTCAGTCGATATCTGTTATAATAATTCGCGAGTACATTACGAGCGGCTGATCGCGCCGCGGGAATCAGGAATTAATATTAGATTGGTGCGAAAGGTATGTCGTCGAATAAACTTGTCGAACAAACTCGAAAATGAAATTATACAGTTTCAAACTAATTTTTCTCGATTGGAAAACAGTCGTCATTGACTGACATTGATAGTTTTTTCATACAAAATATTTCCTCAACTTTCTTTTTAAGAAACCCAAACACTAAACTTGATAGTATAGATAGAATTTAATAGGAAAACGAGACGACGTACCTTTTTCATCAACCGAATATTTAAACTATTGTAAATAATATCCGCGAGCTCGACCGAGATTTAGTCGTCGTAGTGAGATATATTTTCGTTGTTCAGGATTTCTCTCACGACAATTACATTCTAATTTTAGGGAAGGAATAACGTCACTGAGTCTAATTAGTGGTGGACGTGTAAAGGCTTGTCAACCTCTTTGACTCTATCTGTCACAAACTGTGGAATTAAATTATTTTAATATTACACGGCTGTTGTATTTAACCTATATTTTCTCATCCAGCGAGGGAGCTTATAATCAGCAAGGGAGGAAGATTAAAAGTATTTTAAAATGCAGTGGATTGCATGGTTGATTGAAGAATTGTTGAAGAATCACAATTATTGGAAGATGCAAGCTCTGTCGAATCTAATAAATTAATATTGATCGAGATAGAATTATGAAGCATTCCGCATACATTTACTGATGTATATGAATATTTGAATGGTATGCAATTTTTTTAAAGATATAATTTTTGTGCGGATTGTAAATTACATTTATATATTTAAATATAATTTACAATATATATACATATGATGCAATCTGAGTATAATCCGATATAAATGATTTATATTTCGTTATATTGTTATATCAACGTGTTTTTTTATATAATTTTATTGTTATATTTAAAAAATTTACATAGTGTTTGATCATGTATTCAGTCAAATTTATTATATGTATATGTGGATTAAGGAAAATGGCATTTAAACAAGCATTGTGTGAGATGAATTTTTTATGAATATCGAACAATGACAAGCGAATTAGAGAAATACTATCGAGAAACAGAGAAACATATAGAAATATAATTTTTACTAGTGTCGTCGGTATAAATCGAATAATTCCCACATCTGTGTATTCGAATATTTAAGTACCCAGGTATAGAAAGTACACAATTTATATTAATTATATTAATCGATACTATTAATTTTTACGCAAGTATTCGACTTTTTTATTTCGAATAATATTTTCAGTCGTAAACTTTAATTTGTCCAATAGAGATCTCGGTAAATCATAGGATTCGTTCTTGCTTGTTTTTATGCGAATATCTTCCGATATTTCGCCTGGATCCACACTCTGTACATACTCAATTGTTTACCTCTGTTAACTTGTAGTCGTCTATCCGCGAAATTTTGTTCTTCTGTGAAGCCATTATCGGTAAATAACGTTTTGACATCCTCTGAAATAATTAATATTTATGGGAATTTTCGAGCAAATATTGCAATTTTAAAGTAGAACAAATATCTCAAAAGGGAATATTACCTTGCAGAAAAAAATAGACTCTAGTACCGTCTCCGCGTGCGTAAAAGTTACCGCCGAGACAATTGCCCTTCTTAAATCTCAATTGCGCTAAGTCGTATCTGCCGTAATCGCGAAACAAAACTATCCCACCCGGTTTCAAGTACCTGTGTATCTGCCGCACAACATGTTGCATTCTGCAACATAATCAAGTAACATAATAAAACATTTCCATTTCCCTTTCAATAAATTATAAAAAAACAAATATATAAAGCTAAGGGAGAAAAAATATAAAGATATATAAGAAAAAGACATAAGAAATAAAACATACACAGATACATGAAATAATCATAATATTGTAATAATCAATGATATAGAAATCCCCAACATACTTATCAGGATGGATGGCAGACAATACAAATATCAAGACGACAATGTCCAAACTTTCAGGTTCGAAAGGAGTCGTCCATGTTTCTTGAGTTACATCAAGAACAAATGCTTTGCACCTAAAATCACACATATACGATCTAGCCACCCATCTCGCGTTTTACTCAATGATTTTTATCATTTTAACTTTATCTAAATTAAAATGAGATAATTAAAGCCCTTAACAGCCATTTATACTATGGAAGGATAATATTTGGATTATTATTTACCAACACATTATAAATTTCAGTTTACATTAGACAACCGTGTGTAACTCTTTTAAAAGCTTTAATTCTCTCACTTTAGTTTGAATACCAGCAGAGCCTGTTTATATATCTTGCTTACCTATCTACGTTATATGCGGGATTTTGTTGCAATATATCAATAGCTTTAGTGGAAAAATCACAACAATATACAAATAACTTTGGGTCTACGTTATACGTAAGTATAGGAAACACAGTGTTTCCTACACCACAGCCTATCTCTAAAATCCTACAACCATCTTTGCATGGTAAATCAAGAATTTTAATATATCTATCGCCATGGTTCTTATCTTGATCTGCAAGTGCAGCTCGCATTGGTCTTTCAGTATTTTGCTTTACTATATCGGGTGCTAATTCTGGAAATTCAGTCAACAGCCAGTGTCGGTTTTTAAAGAATCTGAAGTAGTAAATATATCAATTAAAAAACATACGTCTGAAATAATGCAATAAGTAAAATATATAAATCTGGCTAATGCTTTTATATTGTTTAATTGTTATATATCGTCGAATAATTTATGATTAAATTCAAAGTTCTGAAATTTTCTTTGCATACCCATCGTTATGCACACCGTAAAATTTGTCCCAATATTTATCCGCTTCAGTCTCATATTTTAAGAGTTGTTCAGAGGATACCGTAACAATCGAATTTTCATTCACTTTGCGTTGTGCGAGCTTTTCTTGTTCCTCGTCCCACGTGACGTTGTCCCTTTCGTAATACAAAATATTTAGGCTATGTTCGTCTTACCTTTTGTGCTAGAAACATCATTCTATCTTCCTTTGACATGTAATGAGCGGTAAAGATAAAACGATGATTTCAACAAGAAAATATGCAAGACGAATTTAGCCTTAATCATATATAAAAGTGTTCATTTTATGTTATTATCGTTTCTAAATATGGTTAGGTTAGGTTAGATTTCGCAAACACGTGCTTGATGAAACGTCAAATTAAAACGTCAATATACGTGCAGTTATATAGTACAGAGCTTTATCTTACCATGCATTGTGCTGGAAAATATTTCCGTCACTAGGTAAGTTTCGTGTTCCGAATTGCGGCCTACTGTTTACCGTTTCACGACTGTCTCCGTTTGACGTTTTGTCATCCATGTTTGAATACGCGCTGATTAAATCGCCAATGGATATTTAATTAATTTATCGAAGTGGAATTATGTGATATTGTGAATATATTGCATCACATTTTGTATTAAAATATGTAATAATTAAATTGACCTACAAAGTTAATTAGTAGAAAACAAAATTCGGCTGACTAGTCATAGTGTCGTACCACTTGTAAAAAATTCTCTCGGCTGAAGCATGGTTGATTTGTACTACGTGCTCGGTTCTTCATTGAAGACGGTAGCGACTCGTAGCGAAGAATTTGGAACTAACTTTAACGTCAGCATTCCTTTAGCCAAGACTCGAACCCTCTTCAGTTGAAATTGAAGACTCGTTTAGATCACACTCAAATTTTGTTTAGTGAAGCAGGTCTATCGGTATACCGCTAAATGGCGCCAGGTATCCCGTTAATCACGTTTTTACTGGGTTTAGGAGATGGGTTATCGTTCCAAAGTCTCCGCTACGAGTCGCTACTGTTTTTTATCAGTAGAGTTCCTTAAGTCAGGCCGACGTTTCCCATAGCGCGGAAATCTTCAGCGGAACGGAACGCGCGGAGTCAGCGCAACCAATCATAGCCATTCCACTTTCTTTCCGCCGCTTTTTCTGTTTTCCTGATTGGTCGTGCTGGTTCTGCGCATTTCGTTCCGCTGAAAATTTCCGCGCTATGGGACGTTTGCTTCAGAGTTTGTCCGCCATTTAGGGTGGAAATGAGAGAGAAGCTTCAACGTGCTTTGTCATTTCAGTCTCAGAGTTTCTCTTTCACTTTTACTCACGTCACCCCTAAAAATGGCGAATAAAATGCAGACCAATCAGGAATTGTCACGCTTTGCTCTAACTCTGCTAGAGGAATTCTATTTATAAAAACGTTGAGCATGTGGTCAAATCAAACGATAAGTTAGACGTACTTTTTATTTTCAAGTTGTGCAACTCAACGGTCAGATGTTCTTTTACTATGCAGTGAAAGGGGTTAAATTCAATGGGCTACAATTTTGACGAAATGACGATAATGAGAAACTTCGAAAAACATTATATATATAACTTTTTGTTTTCGTGGTACAACTCAAGAAATTTTATTGCAAATCTTTATATTTGATAAATTTCGATTTAAGTTTCCATATATTATCGTAAAAAATAATTAAACTTTATATTCAATAAAATATTTGCAAATTATAGTCTTGAAGTTATAAAATGCTTCGTGAGTTATTTCATTATCATAATTTTTACGAAAGTTATAGTCTGTTCAATTCCGTCTATTTGTAGTCAAGAAAAGTAATTCTTCAATTTTTGTGTGCGTAACGTATATAATTAAATATGCTACTAGAGAAAGTAAATCATTTTCTATTCATGATATACAAAAACTACAACGGCATATTAATTACTGTACTACATTACGTCTTTTTTGCCTTCTTCTATATTCTTATACTCGTGAAAATTTGTACTGTCATCGCGTATTCTATCTCAGTTCTCGTGCAGCCTCAATGCAGCTAAAAAGAACAAAGTATTCATTATTGAGAAATGAAAGTCCATTTCACTTGGTATTGAATTGTGCTACAAAAAAGAAATAAAAATTCGAGGAAGAGAAATAAGTTTGAAGATAATTTAAATGATGTGCAAACGTCGTGCAGTTTTAATATGGCGTTTATTTTAATTCACGTTTTTCTTTGAAATCGTAACACTCGCGTGGCTTAATATAAATAGAATAGTCGTATTAGTATAAGATATGTGCCAATTGTTAAAGTTTTAAGTGATTAATGCGAGGACGAGAAGCTCTGAGATTCGAACATTGCGTGAACCGCTCGTACTGACGAAGGTCTGCTCGCACTGATGTAAGCATTGCCGCAGTTTTGGAAAGGTATTATTTATGTGCAATCGATACAGCGAACTTTTCAGAATATACAATGTAGATTGATAAAAACGTAATACTTAAAATTTTAGTTTTTAGTCCAGCACGACGAAAGTAATCTGAATACTTGAACGTTCAGATAATTAAAAAAAAAATATTTGTATTTGCGAGCGACTCAGTGAATATTGTACTTGACAGACTCAGGTACAGTATTCGAGTATCTCAATCTATCGATAATATTTCCAAAATGTCTTAAAAGATACGCTTCTGAGACTCTCGGAGTCTGTCTAGGTCGTTCAAGCTTTCTATTTTTGGAATTATATTGGATTGAAGATACACTACGTGTTCGTTTTTCGTTGCAACACGCACGAACGACATGGTATGTTCCGACTTGATCTGATATTTATTAATATCTATGGCGTATTATTTTCCTTTTACGATAATTTCAACCGTTAAACGGCATGTAACTAACTAGCTTGCCGGTAGCTAGACTATGCAAAGTGGTAAACTGATAAGTGCCAGAATTAGTTTCGCTTAAGGACAAAGATAAAATGACCCATACGTGTTCACAATGTAGTAAAGAAAATTAGAAGACACGGAAATGTACTGAAAAAGCGGTTAAAAGTACCCGGATAGCACAAGATATCTCAAAATCGTGCTGGATGTATTCAGGATTTAGGATGCTGTTGAAGAGTGTTTTAGAACGTCTTGAGAACATGTTATTTCTTTCAAATATAAGAAATGATTAGAGTTCAACTAGATTTACAATTCTTAAATAGAAAAAATTCTGGCAAATGTGAGTTTTAACGCCAATGTAAGACAATTAAAACTTATATCAAGTGAAATATATTTAAATGTTTTAGTTCTTCGTTCGCACTCTTTTCAATGACAAAAGATTACAAATAATGCGTATTATAAATAATAATATTGAGTTATTGTGTGAGCAGAAGCTTCGCGATGTGACTAAAAAATCGCTAAGTATTGTCACTCGACATGTACATAAATTTCCACGTTCACATGAAGAACGTAATGTGTTCACAAGTTCAAATTGAAACGCGAATAATGTTTGTTATGTTATCTTTTTCTGTCGCAATACGGGATGCGCGCGTTGTTCTCTCCGACGAGCGGGAAATGAGAATCCACAGTGACGCCTCGTATATATACTTTGCGATAAGATGCGTCGTAGAGGCATTCGGATAGCGCGAGATACCGGTTACGAGGCTGGCTAATTAGGCGCTTCGGCGGGCGGCCCGCTCATATTTCGGCGAGGAGTCGCGCGCCGCGCAAAACGCAGCGCGGCGCGCGTTCGATCGCGCGCGCCCGTCCGCAGGATCAACGACCTAAGAAAGTGATATAGGTTAGGTTAGGGGTATGCGCGTGGTATGCGGAAGCGGGATGGGTGTGACGCGCGAGCGGAGGGGTGCGGGCAGGTCGAGGGTGGCGCGTTGCGTCATTGGATGCTTGATGTCGCAGGGGCGAATCTCGCGCCGCACTTGGGCCCGAAACCGGATGTGACGCGAGTAACCTTATTGATACACCGAGACACGCGTCTTCGAGAACACCACCGAGAGGGAATTGAAATTTCGACCTCGCGGAAAAGAAGCGCGCGTTCGCTCGGCGCTCTGTCGAGATCGGTAGGACGCGCCGCGCGAGTTGGCGCACATTCGTTCGTTGAAGAAGGTACATGGATGTAATTCCGATACTATCTAGTCCGCGTTTCTAAATCTATCTGCCGCACGGAGCGACTATTTTCAGAAAAATCGATCCCGTGGATACCGGAGAGTTCTCACGCGCGAAGAACGGATTAATTAAAGATACTGGGAAAAGAGGCGTTTTCGAATAGAAAAACGGGTTTCTTCTAATTTTAATTCAGCTCTTGATCTCCTTTCCTTTCCTTCTTTCGTGTTCCTCTGTTTCGCCCAATTTTCGCGGGGATAAGGCCGGAAGTAAGAGTGATCTTCCGTTCGCGAAGATTCTGCTAACTTCTAGTTGGTTGATAACGGGGACTCTGCTTTTAATTGCTTCTATCCTAATTCACCCGACCTCCCTTCGTGCACGGAGACGGATCTCCCGGCGGGACACGTGTCCAACGATGCGGATTATACCTCGTGTCGCAATGCAAAGATCGAGGCCGCCATAATTAAATTTCCGACGGCGTGCAGGTACGCGTAAAGGACCTTATGCCAGGCGACGCACGTGTCATTTACTAGCAACAAATGTAAAGCTTGTTATCGTCCGTCTCATTATTCACTCTCGCATTGTTAACACATCTATTTGCGCGACTCCTCCCTCGCTTCCCTACGTGGCCGCGCATTGTTCCTCTTTCTTCAAAGACACGCGGTCAGTAAAAGGGCCCAATCGTCCGTTCGTTCGCCTGTTCATTCGCGAGGACGAGCGCTTTTCCGTTATCGACTCGTGGCTCTCTCGCGACGAGACGCGGCGAGGAGAGGTGAGACGAAGTAGAGAGACGAGAGGAAACGAGACGAGAAGAGACGAGAGGAAACGAGACGAGAAGAGACGACGAGGAGGAGGAGGCGAGGAGAGGCGCGCGCGATTCCTGGCAACCGGTTGCCAAGGGCCACCAGGTCCTCGCGCCGCTCCTGCACGCCTGCCTCGTGGCCCCGTGCGTCGTCGTGGGTGGCTACCGTGACGTCCTAATCCTACAGAGTCCCTAGGGGCGAGATCGATACACATCCGTTTCCCTTTCCCGAACCCCATCCCTCCAACCCTTCGTCCGTCCGTTCGTCTGCCCGCCGTACGTGTTTTCGCGCGCGAGTTAGTACTCATCGATCTCAGTCGGCGAACTCGCCGGAGACTAAAGAGGAAAAAATATGAAAGAGAGAAAGAGAGAGAGAGAGATTAAAGGGTGGACCGTGCTCTCTCTCCTCTCTCCTCCCATAAGTCTCTGCGTCTTCGTGCAGCCGAAAACCGGTGTGTGAGGATGATCTCTCCCGTCGCTGCAGCTCATAAAATCGCGCCAAGCCGTTTATTGGACTAGTGGCTTACTAGATCGCGACAGTCTAGGAAGAGAGGAGTCTAATAGGCCACTTGGATTTTTAAGGAAATACACTTTCATTCGTTTCGTGGCACATTCAGCACACGCTGACATATCTCGAATCTCGTGATCTCGCGAGGACAATAGTCTCACGGATCGTCCGCGT